GGTGACCGGTTAGAATTTTCATTCACATCTTTTAAGCTTGTGGTGAGATTCTCATTAGACATTTCAATACCACTACCTATGACAGTTATAAAACATATTTTTACTCAGTTTGTTGTTGAATTGAATTTAATAACAGTCGTATTTTGTCTAGAAATAGCCTGTTCTTTCAATATGTGATAAAGTTCTTTAATACATTATTACCATTTTTGGCTACTAGTTGACATGATGATTGTTCTTGTTCTTGTTCAAGTAATAAATCGGGATCACTAATTTGAAAGGATTATTATAATTATTCAATATTATATTATAGTTTTATGCATTTGTTAAAAATGGAATACATACATATCATCTCCAGGATCGGCTAAGAATTCCGCAAAGAAAGAATCCATTTTACTATCTAATGCTGAAAATTAAGCAATATGTTATACACATGTGAGAATAGCATTTAATTCTTGGATATAGATAATTTTACCTGCGAATTGCGCCAAAATTGCCGATCGAGTTAGATGGTCATCTTCTAAAATAAATGTAATAATATTATTTATTTATCTATGTAAAACTAAACTGCAAATAAATTATGAATTTTGTACCGATTGTTGTCGTTGAAGTCATAGAGTTGTCTTCATTTTGCTCAGTTTTTTGGTTTGTGTTGGATGATGGCGCATGTTCGGATGTATTTTGTCCATCATTTGACATCAATGTAGGCGTTGTCATATTCATTGAGTTATTCATTGGATTATTCATTGGATAATTTTCTTTTCCCACAGATCCATCTCTTGGAGGTGTCGAATTCGATACGGGTTTTAATGCTCTCTCTCTCTTTATCATGATAGCAGATGCATTATTTAAGATTTCTGATGTACTCTTCGAACTTTGATTAATCGAAATGGATGTGGTTCCTTGATTTTGAGATTGGTTCGTTAAAGTATTATTCTGCTTGGTTAAAGTACTATTCTGAGGTTGTAAATTTTTGTTGTTATTGACACTTTTATTAGATGTATCTCCAGTTTTAGCGTTTTTTTGGATAAAATCTGGATGACGATGCAGCTTGTCCACATTAAATTGTGGCTATTGATAATAGAATAATAATTTAATAATAATTGAATATTATTTACATTTACTTATATATAATGGTTTTTGGTATACTGAGAATGATGAATGCTTACCGGTGAAACCTTTATCTTGACAATTTCGGAGGCATATTTTTTGTTGTACACACAATTACCCATTGCGTTGCCAAATGTTCGTAGGGCACGCTTGAGCGCATCTGTCATGG